TGAAACCAGACATCATAGCTTTTCATAACATTTTTAAATTTAATTACATTAGAATAGATAATTTGATACAATTGAGTTCGTTGAAAATCATAAAAAGGCTGCAGTAAAGCGTCATTGGTAACAAAACTATTTGTCTGATACTGGATTGTAATCTGTCCCGTCTCAAAATTCAAAAGATTTGGTTGGTTGATTATAAATACTAATAGACACATATTATCCTAAATTGTATTCATATGAATCAAACAACCAAACGTAGGAAAAATGGATAAATATTTGATCAAAAAAGACAAATTGCTTGATGGTTCCGACACGACTACGACTGACACTGGTATCAAAACCACAGCGGGCAACACAACGGATGCAGTACCAAGATGCTCTGAAAAGACAGGAGTACCAGGTGACATTGGAAAATAAGACGTCCCAAAGCAACCGAGAATAAAATTTCCAGCGAAGTCTGGTCGCCAATTTAGTAACAGCTGGTATGATCGATTTCCATGGCTGGAGTATTCAGTGTCAAGGGACGCCCCTTTTTGATTTCCATGTCGGGTGTTTCACAATACATCTGCGGGTGCATAAAAATTCATCACTGAAGGCTACACAGATTGGAAGCACGCTGTAGGTGATACTGGAAAGGGCCTCAAGAAGCATAACAATTGAGGTGTCAAAACAATTTCTCCAAGATAACGTTGCCAAGACAGAAAATCAGGACTCCAATCTTGTTCTTCAAAAACTATACGAGCAGAAATGGCTTTCCCTAAATTATATGCACTGGCTGCAAGCGTTGCCACATTCGGTTCTAGTACCGCTGTGTGTGGAAGCAGCTTTTCAACTCTTACTCACGTTGACTCACCACAACGACGATCTATGACTCAGCTTCGCCAGCCCAATCTTGTTCTTCTTGCTTTCAACAGGAAGCGTACCCAGAAAATTAACTTGGATGTATTTGTTCAACGTTTTGCCTTAAAACATACGTTTAAACTAAAACGGCAATAAAAATGTAACGTATTATAACTTGTGTGTCTTAACAAAAATAATCTCGAATCTAAAATACTCCATTAAAGTCCGTCTCCCGACGTTTAATCGTCTGTTAAGGTGCTTTGCTAAATTGCCCCCCTCGATTGCACGTTTGCCCCCGTATTCCCCCCAGGAATACTGGTAAGGCTACGGGCCTGCCTCGTTTATGGAAAATTGGAGTCAGAATTGGAAAATTGGGATATGGCGAAATGAGAAAGGGCAAATGGGGAAGGCACAAGATCGATTACAAGTTAACTTTCGCTTTCGGACGTTGATATCTCCAACCAGTAGTTGTTAGTAGTAATAGTAGTTGGCAGTTGAATTGGATCAAATTGGATGATTCTGTGCTGTTGGTTTGGTAGTGATAATTCGTGAGATCCAGTCGGGTCGAATGACATGGCGTTGAAAAACTGGGCCCTTGATGGTGTGGCGTGAGTTACTCGATCTTCTTCATTCTTTCAAATTCGTTGTTTTCGTGGGATGAAACCGTTGCCCCTTCTATTCTGTTCGATTTTCTTCGGGTTTTCATTTTTACAATCTACCTGTAATTTCTGACCTGATAGCACTTGAAAAATTACGAAATTCGAAAATTCGTCGCTCACTTTTTTCGATCAAATTTTTCAATTTTTTTGCAACTTTTTTGCTTTTGCATCGATTGATCTGAAATTTTAAATGCAAAGAGACTTCACTAATGTTAATAATATGATACAGTCAAATTTTGTACGTCATTTCCGATTTTCAACAGGAAAGCGACTGAAGTTCAAATCTACTTCCGGTTGAATAACTTCCGGTGTAATTTATGTAGGTCAACAAAATTTGGCAAATTAAATTTTATGGCCGATTTTAAAATAAAATCCAGACCGGAAGCGATACTTTGGCCGCCATATTGAAAAAACACACTTTTGTAAAACTCAAAATGGGGCCTCAGGGTAAAAGTTGATATGCTCAAATTTGATGTGAATGTAGTTGCAATC